ATAAATGCCATTAAAAGTTCATTTATCTACCTAGCACACCTCTTCCTATCACCCTGGTTTTTTTTTAAATCAAATATGTAATTAATTTATATATCACTTGCCACATCTAAACTGACATCTCAACAAGGGTGGAGCAGTATATTACTAATATTGTGTCTAATTTATTTTGTGATCCCATTCCTTAAATAATTGTATTGGTTTTCCCTTTTTGTATGTTCTTCATTATAAATTATATTTTGTTAATTCTGAATATTTAAAAGAAATATCTTGCAGGCACGGGAGGGAACCCTTCCTGCCACAGCAACTGTACAGTCTCAATGACAAGGTGCTTTAATAGACAGGTGCACAGGTGTTTTATGCTATACAGATGGACGTCAAATGATTTGATGAGAAATGTAGTCTATATTTCCTAGATTGAAACAAATCAAAAAGTGATGAAGTGGCTCCAATCTCATGCATTAGCTATAATGAAAGCAACATACTTCCCGTAGACATGCTCAGTGGAGTGAGGAAATAAAAATCTGTAGCCAGAGGGAGCCTGCTAAACAAGCTTTTTCTCTTTGTGTCTGTTCCCCCTACACAAACAAATAAACTCTTATCTTCTTTCATACTTCTGTGGGTTTACTACTCTGGTGCTAATATAATTTGAACACAGAGAAGGGGGGGGAGAGGGAGAGAGGACGGTTCCAGCTCTAAATTACAGAAGTAAAAACTTGCAAAACTTTCCAAGGCGTGGATGTGTGAATGATGAACACATGTGTGCACAGGAGGGATGTAAATCCTTACTGGTCATCTGCACATTTGAAGATAAGGAACCACAGGATCTTTTTTCCTTGCCCTGTCTTATCAGAGTTATTTTATAATACGTTCAACAACAAAATCAATGAGAACAAGAGCAAACTTTGCTGAAAATTGGACATTGTTGTGTATATAACGATTTCATGTAAACAAAGCTTGAGGGAAAATAATGCATATTTATGTAGCGGTACTAGCTTCAGCATTCTGTTGCATGGACTTTAAGGTTCAGGAGTATCATGAGGTGGTCATCATCTTTAACAACTAGCTCATCTTTTGTGTTTGCTGTGCATGTTTTGCATTATTTATCAAAGTGAATGTGCACGTGTTTGTGTATTTTATGTGAATTGAGACATTTTCTTCAAATTATTGGGAAAAGGGTATCCTTTCTATCACACCTGCCTGTAGGCAAAGTTGGCACAAGATTTTAAAATTCCTTATGAAGAAAGAGGTTTCTTTGGCATTAGATAGGCTTGATCAACAGAAAGAAATAATTCATTGACTATTGTCTGGAGCCATGCTTCCAGCCTTGGGTCCTCAAATGTTCTTGGACTATTACTCCCAGAAATCCTAGCCAACACAACTGTCAAATGTTCTTGGACTATTACTCCCAGAATTCCTAGCCAATACAGCTGGTGGAGAAGGCTTCCAGGAGTTTTAGTCCAATACTGTCTGGGGACCCAAGGTTGGTAATCACTGGCTTGGAACATTCCCTAGTGTAAGAATTTCCATATGACCAAGCAGAGTTTCATACAGAAGACCTCATCTTCCTAATAAGGAAGCTATGCTAGTGACCAGTGAGGAGATCTGACAGTCTTCAAGATGCTCCTTTTGACTTCATACCACCTGATGTTGCTCCCTTATTTTGACTAATGATAGGGCTGTCCCTAGAAAGCGTCATAAGTAGGAGAAGGATTTCTGTGACCTGTCATATTTTTTCTGCAGCCTATGTTTGAATTTATGAGTGGGTTTGGATGTGTTTATGACTAATCTGGTGAGAAAGGTCTGATTACTCTTGCTTGTTAAGTTCAAGCATAAGTTTCAGAGGGTGTGTGAAATTTATATTTTTATGATTATATATATTTTATATTGATTTATTTTATGTTGTAAGCCACCCCGAGTAGACATGGTCTAGAGGGGCAGGGTATACAGTAAATTTAATAAATAAATAAATGAAATGTCATAGAAATTGTCCCCCTAGTCATAGTATTGGATAAGGCTTATCAGAGCTTCTAGTCATGTTGGATCTATGCTAAATTTAGGAATAGAGTAAATATTGGAAAGTTCCTTTTGAGAAGTAATTCATTTCCATGGCTCATTACAGTGCTTTAAAAAAGGAATTTGTTCTTTTGTACTTTTCATGATAATGCTTTTTAATAGCTACTGGTTGTGTTATTCATCACAACTCTTATTGCCTGCTTGTTCCTTTCCAAATGCTTAAAAATCAGGTTTTGAAATTAGCTGCAATATGTTGCCTGTGGTACCCATAAAGCAACATTGTTCTAACCTGTCACATTATTTTAAAAATGTGACTTTCTGGTGCCCTCATTGCCAGGAAGGGGGGGCGGAGAATAGTTCATTACAGGCTGCTACAGGACTTCGCTACTTCTCAACTTTGAATCATAGGTTGCATGCCTTTGGATAGTTGCTGGAGGAAATGGAAGGGGAAAGGCTATTGCGATCATATGCCCGATGTGGGGTTCCTATAGACATCTGATTAGTCAGTGTGACAAGCTGGATCATGGGGTTAATTGAAACTCCATGTTGATCCAGTTAGGCTCTTCTTGTTTAAGTTAGCGTTACCCATTCTTCTTCCTCTTTTGACATTCTTGTACATTGCATTTTTATTTAACCTGGATTTTCTATGAAAACAAATGAACAGCAGCATAATATGGTAATGTCACTGGGAGAAGGGATATGATGAGTACTGAGAAAAATCCTTCTTGGTGATTATCCAAGACTCTCCTTTGAGTTTGCTTTCTGAGTCAGTAAGATTTCCTGGCTTGCCATTAAACAAACAAACAAACAAAAACCTGCTGGTCTTCACCCACTTTATTTTTTCATTTTCTGACTCTTCTTCTGAATAGAAACTACCAAATAATTTAATTGGTTAGATCCTGAGCAAGAAAGAAGCTGTTCAGCATAGGAATTGCAATTATCTTGAACAGCTTGGAATTTCTTTCGGGGGAAAAAAAGGAAGGAGAAATAGGAACTGCTGGATAGCTCAGTGGTTTAGGTCTCTAGTTGCAGAGCCAGAATGTGGGGGTTCAATTCCCCATTGTGCCTCCTTGACAAGGGATGGACTTGATGACCCTTCTAGCTTTGCAATTCTCATCCATCCATCCATCCATCCATCCATCCATCCATTCTGAGAAATCCCATGAGATTTCTTGTGTAGGTGGCAGGAGGGAGGCTTGTTCTAAGAATTCTTGCTGTAAGGGGTTCCTTTTCCATTTATCACTGAGAAGGAGAGGCTGAAAGAGTCACACCTCTAATTGGGAGTGTCCAGAGAAGGAAAAAGATAAGATTAGTCCTGCTTTATTAAATTCATCTCTAATCACTGTGTCAAGTTGTGTTGTTTCAATGATTGTGTTCTTTCAAATAATTATATTTCACTTTCTTCTAAACTTACCTTTTCAGAATTATTATACTTTAGAATTATGTATTGTACCTAAGTCTCTTTTCACAAAGAGAAATCTCTCTCTCTCCCCCCAACTTTTTATTTTATTTTACTTCATTCCATTTTTGCCATACAAGTGTTCATGTTCCAAGTATTATGTTCATTTGTATATTTAGTATCTCTTACTGGTTGATTGTTAACCCAGCAATGGCTCTATGTTCTTTTAATTGTTTGAATAGTTGAGAAGTTGCATGCCTGAAACTTAACAGGGATGTATCATTTGCAAGGAAGCTTGTAGCATCACTGTGACCATACATTGTGAGACTCCTATTTAATGTGTTCACTTAAAATAGTCTTGTGGAAGACTTCAGGAAGATGACAAATAATAGTGGGAAAGGGGAAGGCATTTTTGGTGCTCATAATAAAATTGGCACATAGTGGCTAATATCCTGCTGACTAGCACAGTAAAGTGCTCTAGAAAAAAGCCCATTGAATCAACAAGGATTTGGTGAGTCATCTCCTCCTTAAGTTCTGTTTATTAAATGGGCCAAACTCTAGTTGTGACTTATATTAGCTTATAAAATTGTGGTTAGAGTAGGCCTATTTGCTTCAATAAAACTTATGAAGGAGTTGGTTCACCAAATCGCCATTAATTCAATGGATCTTTTCTACTGCAATTGACTGTCCTAAGCAACAGGATTTTGGTTGATAAGTTATATGAGTTTATGCTTACAAACATGATTGCTGGAATTGCTTCATTATTCACAGAAATTTTGGCTGAACTTAGTAAGTCTCAACTAGAGTAGGCCCATTGGAGAATTGATGAGTGAACTCCTCTGTAAGTTCTATAAATTAAGTGAACCTACTGTTGTTGAGACTTACTACTGGCTTCCAACTGTTGTGTGGTACGTGCTTTTAGGGAAGTGAGGTAAATCAAGCAAAACAAACATTCTAGTGGTTGATATGCTGTTGCACAGCTCCACACCCACAAAGGGATGATGTTGTCAGCAAAGGCAAATCGCCATTGATTAAAGAAAAACTGACACTGATTAAATGTGATTTGAGGATGCACGTGACTTGTACACAATGCAACAATGTTGCATTACACACATTGAAATCCCCAAAGAAAGCTTTTTGTCAGCAGAAGTTTGCTACCCTTGAGGACAGAATTTGTTTACTTTAATGCAATGAATAACATATATATTAGAATGTATAAGTCTAGTAAAAATGGAATAGATGAGCTCTCTGTGTAGAAGTTCATCTACCCTAACTCAGCATAGTTGAGTAGCAAGAATTGCATATGAAAGACTAAAATTTTAGCTAATAAAAACCAAGCACAGGTTTTCTCCTGACGTAGCTATTACTATGAAATGCTCTGGCATCTTGTTATCTGAACTCAAGTCTCCTTCCTTCTTAAAAACAAAAAAACACTGTTAAGAACTGATATAAGGTGACACCAGGAAGGACTTGACTTGCTTTTAGAAATCTCCAGAAAAGTTGTTTAAGTCTGGTACTTCATCATTTATTTTATTTTTAGCATAGTGATTATTTTTTTGATTTCATTTTCTGTTATCTCTTGATTTAGAAAATGCTGCTCTTTTTGCAAAACCCGAACCCCGACCCTATCCAGGTAAGTATAAATGTCTGTTTCTTTGGATTAGTCTGTGGTATGTTGTAGTTTCCCCTAATTAACTTGAGCTGATACAGTGTTCTCTTCTTTCTTATTCTACTATCCCAGCACTTCCACTGCTGACTATGTGACCCCATGCCCCTCTCCTTCCAGTAGAACGAGCCATGGCAGGTTGAGGGACTGAGCACCGGTACTTCATCCCAATGCTTTTGTGATAGGAATCCTCTGTTCCCGTCACAAAGCAGCTATGGCAACCAGGGCTCCACATATAAAATCTGTCACTGCCTGCCACTGTCGTATCCATATATGCCTTTTCCATATCTGCTCATCAGAGTGGAGAGTGCAGTAGGCCACAGAGGAAAAGGAAACCACTTCCCAGCTCCTAGATCAAGAGGCCAAAATCCTACAGGTGGCATTGAAATTTAGACATCGTCTCCAAAGTATAGAGCAACAAAGAAGATCTCCCACCTTAGCTTGAAGATAGAGAAGCCTAATCACTTTTCATGACACATTTGAGAACTGTTACCTCCAGAATTCATGTTATAGACCTGACTTTGCCCTTCCTGGCAACAATAATGTTTGGTTGGTAAAAAGTGCACTTCGGGAGGTAATTTGCAGCTTGGAACCCTTGGGTTGATAATTTTGCACAGAATGTAGGAAAATTCTTGTTGATGTCTTTGGTGTTATAAACACATCTGCGCCATTGGTAATTATTGAAATTTTGTTCCTGCTTAGCCAGGTTAGCAACTCCATCTTCTATTCCTGTTTCCATTCATGTCACTAATAAGTAAACCTTTTGAAATGGCCATTCAGCATTCATAGAATAGCAGTCATAGCATCCAGAATGACAGCCTGAGATTATTTATTTATTAGATTTTTTTACCCCACCCCTCTAGAAAATGTCTAGAAGCCTAGGAAAGGTTGCTTTAAACTGTTCCCTGATGGACTTATTGCATTTTTATGCCACCTGTGTCCTCATAAAGGAGGCTCATGTATCCTGAAAACAAATAGGAATTAAAACAAAATAATTAAAGGATTTATATTATAACATTCATCCCAAAATAATTTTAAAGACATAAAAACATTTTAAAAAAATATTACAAGGAATATAAAAGCTACATCAAATTTCTCCGTCTATTTTATCTGCCACAGTTTTTCAGAAATGTAAGTAAGTCTGAATCCAGTTGGTAGTCTCAACTAAACAGAGGCACAAAGTCTATTGAATTTACATAAGTTTAGACACTATTCAGACATGTCTTTAAAATCGTTCTTGTTTTGGCAGGCTTTCTAAATTATGCCATTGTTAAACACTCTAACATCTGCAGCCATCCAATTAAATTTAGCTTTACTGTAATGTATATTTTTGCTGTGTGCTGTATAGTATATTTTTACCATTCTACATTGCCCAGAGTGACCATTGGTCAGATGGGCAGTCTAGTAGTTCGTTCAATCAGTCAATCAATCAATCAATCAATCAATCAATCAATCATTGTCTACTCTGGTTGGGACTAACAATTAGATTTAGTTCATAACATTTATTCTTCCAGCTACTGGAGACTGGATCTTTTTCGTAGATTTGTATAATGGTTGTCAAAAAGAAATGGGTCAAGGAAGTTATTGATCAAATGTTGCAATTAACAATCACATCAGACCACTTAAGTGAAGCTAAAAGAAACTCAGTATGGGAATATGTTTTGTAACATGTTGAATGATGTATCTAATCTCTTGTACTAGCACTAAGTATATACCAAAGATCTATCAAATATTATTTACTGAAATGATCTGAGGTTTCGGGCAGTTTTGTTTTATTTCTTTTTGCCTATTTTTGTTTTACCTACTTTGTTCTATACTGAGTACTGTATTTAATAATTTGGGGCCAATGCAGTAAAATCTTCAAATTGACTTTATTGTTCAGAAATGCTGTGCAAAGGAAAAGAAATGTTCTATGTTTGAGCAATAAAAGATTCAAGAGTAATCAATTGGCCCATTAAAAAAATATAACAGTTCCTGTGATCTCATAAAACAGCTTCTGATGCAGAGTAAAACTTTTAAAGGATAATAATAGCCACCCCATAAGCCCTAGAAGAATCTGGAGCCGTGCAGTAAGTAGTTTATTGGCTAGAATCTTGTTGTTGTTCATGTGTTTGTGTAAATTGCCAATAGCGGGAACTGAAGGTGCTGGGATTCATCTTGATTGTATGCCTGGTCATGTGTCCAGTTATACAACTGAGATGTGCCCTGACACCTACTGGCTACGCTACATTACACAGGTGTACATGGACATCAGCAAGATTCTGGCAACTGTTCTGGATTTATGATTTTTTTTAAAAAAAGAATATAAAGTCAAGCTTCCTTTATTTAAGAACTGGGAATCATTTATTTTTCTTTTGTTTGTTGTGGGTTTTTCGGGCTCTTTGGCCGTGTTCTGAAGGCTGTTCTTCCTGACATTTCGTCAGTCTCTGTGGCCGGAATCTTCAGAGGACTGGAGTAGGAACTCTGTCTTTTTCTTTTATTTTTACACTAAACTTCCAAGAAAATAGAATAATTAATGACTTTTCAAGTGAAATAGGGAGAAGAGGGGGGACCTCTCGGAGTTTTGACACCCTTCTGGAAGATATAGAGCTGATTATGTTGACTGCACCAGAAAAAGGTGTGGGTTGTTGGTTTTTTCATACTGTAATCCCAGATTCCCAGTTACCCATTGATCATGCAGGCAATGGGATTCTGAGAGATCTAGCTGAAAAAAACAGAAACATCTCACATCTTTGCACAAGATGTAATGTTCACTATTGTTCATTGAACTGTGAAGGCTACTAGTCATGCTTATTATATGCATACCATCCAATTCTGGGTAAAGGCCTCTACCAATGGCTATCACTTTAATAAGCACATAGGTTGTTCAGTCCGTGTAATGAACAACATGGAAGGATATGTGCCTGTTTCATCTTTGGAGGAACTCCTCATTTTCTTAGAAGCTGGGGTGAAGACATCCCTTCAGGGAAAACAGGAATGTCTTATAGTAAGCTATGTCTGTGTGATGAGCTTTCTGATTGCTTCTCACTAGCAATAATTCACCAGTTTTCAGGAAGGTGCAAATAAATTTGCCAGAAGTGCAGTTAGGATGATAGATGGAAATGGACTTGTGCCTCAATAAAAATTTCCATTGGGTAGAGGTTAGAGGCCCAGTGCCAGCTCGCATTAGAGCTGACCCCAAACTACTCATTCAGAATGACTTCCTCTTCCTTCCCAATTCTTCCCCAAGGCTACAATAAACAAGAATTTTTTTTAAAGTCTGTGTTCTTCTGTCCACTTACTAGAGATATGTCTTATTGAATTGATCAGGAGATTACTTCCTCTGAGGATCAAATCACAAATTAAGGGACATATATATTTCCTGATATTATAACAATTCCCTCCAGATACATAATTTATTCCAAGCTCCATGCTTGAGAAGTCAGATTTACTAATAGGGTCCATATTTGCCATTTAGTGACCATCACTCAGGAAAAAAAAACCCAGGTAATTTTCAATATGTAAAATGAGACAAGTTCATGCTGGAATAGCAGTCTTTTAACTCTTGAGGGGTTGCCATTTCTAATGACATGCTGACTGTGCCATCTATTTTGAGTGTAAGTGGACATGTGTCGTCCCCTATCCCTGTTTGTTGGAAATCTGGTTTGACTGAAAGTTAAGACACATAGGTAATGAGCTTCCCGGAAATAGACTGGACAGCCAGTTTAACATTTTATAATATTGGCCATTATTATACTCCATATAGGAGGACAGAGAAAATAACAGTTCCTAGGGTCCATTATTGGGTTTCACATAAAAACATAGGCAGAACTGTACTAGATTAGATGAACTAGTGCAATGGTCCCCAACCTTGGGCCTCCAGATGTTCTTGGACTTCAACTCCCAGAAGCCTTCGCCACCACCTCTGCTGGCCAGGATTTCTGGGAGTTGAAGTCCAAGAATATCTGGAGGTCCAAGGTTGAAGACCACTGAACTAGTGCACTTAATCCAGGATCATGCTTCCAGCACTTACCAGCCAGATGTTTTCAAACTAATTAACAAGCAAGAGAGGAGAAAAGGTGGAAAGCAATGAAAACAAACATAAACAAGGAGGGGAGCATATTTCTCAAAACTCCTGTGTTTGCCATTAAAACATGTACAAAATGTTTTGGACAATACAGCGACTCTGCTGTTGGGGAAAACCTATTCATAAAGCACATATAAAATAGACAACTGCAAGTAGAAGAAATAGTACAAAGTACACATAGCGTTATGTATATTCCTAAAATATATAAGGTTATAAATACAAACATAATGCATTCCTATGGTACATAAGTGTGGAATCCATTATAAATACTTCAGAATTTAAAGGATCGTCAGAATATTGTTTTCAAAAGGTGCAGTTTGGGCCATCGTCATTCACCTTAGCATTTCACCATCCGGATGCATCTGTAAGTTAGGCTGGGTGTTCAGTTCCTCAGTTTGCTTCATGGGAGAACAGTTGGCTTCGAGCAAGCTGTGCCGTCCCAGAAGAATAGACTAGTACACCATTTCTGAGTTTTCTCTACCTGGAAATCTCTGAAAAGGGTCACCCTACGTCACAATTGACTTGACAGCACATGATGATGATGATGATGATGATGATGATGATGATGATGATGATGATGATGATGATGATGATGATGATGATGATGATGATGATGATGATGATTCAGAGATTTTAAAATGGACGTTTGATTCTGCTATTTTTAGTGTGTAGATATTCTTTTGTTTTGACTTGTCTTCAAATGAGATAATGGGAGACCTTCTTTTCCTGGCCATGAAACCTGTCCTTTTCTGTTTGCTGTGCATGTATGCTTAGCTGTGTCAATGGAAAAGATGCTTGCATGGGGATACTGAAGAAAAGTAATGTTTTTTGGTTTGTCATTCTCATCTTAAAGATGAGCTTATTTCTTTACATAATGCATCTTGCAGAACAAGCATCTTCT